AGGGTGTAGAAAAATGAAGTTGAGTCTGCAAAGAAAGGGCAGGTTGGGGGAAGGTGTTTTTATTTTTTTCTTTGTTGCTATCCCACTTTATTTTCAATTGGCAATAAATTAATTTTCCCCAAGGCCAGTTTGTTTTGCCTGTTATAGTAACCTTCCTGTCTGAATCCATGAGCTTTTTCATCTTATTTTCTCCTCCTGGACTGCTGAGGAGAGGGTATAAGAAAGCAGTTTGGTGAGCACTAGACCGCCAGCCCAGGGTAACCCACCACAAAAAGTTTATTCATCTACAACTGAAAAATTAACCCTTTAAGTAGTTGAGGGTCAACATTTTCTGTGGGATTCTAACTTACTATCTCTCCTCTCACTTTGCTTATCCAGCTCACAAAAACTGTCTGCCCTGGTTCTTCCCGGCATGACCTGCTTAAGCATTTAGCATTTAACAGCATAGAAAGATGTCCCGTTTCCTCCTTCACCAGCACATGCATATCATCAAGTTTTCCTGATGTGGTTCTCATCTTGTACAAAATTACTGCCTCTGAAAAACAGCAACAATGCTGGATTCCTTGCCACCTGTTTAAAAAAAAAATCCTCTTACACAGAGTATACTTGCAAAACTGCTTAAGTCTAATTTCTGAGGATCATTTTCACTATCACTTTTGTCAATCAAAGGAAGCTCATTTTTCACTAGTCTTGTTTTAGTTCAAAGCAACCTCCTTAAGTGGTTTTAGACCTGAAGTGTCTGTAAGCTACAGGTTCAGATCCACTGCTAAGTAAACAGAAATACACGAATGCATCATGTAGCCAGAACCTGTACAAAAGAGGTCCCTTCGTCTCCTTATAACCTAAGAGGGGAAGTTGTTTACAGCTATAATGATATTACAAAAGATGATGGGTGACATGTTGAGGGTGGTAAGCTGGCTTCAACTGAAAAAAGGCCACAGAAGCAACTTACTGTCTCATCATAGTTTACTATCATATAGCTGAAGATAGTCAAGATATTTTAGTGGGCAGTTAAGCTGAATGCCAGCTTATGGTGAGTAGTAAAAGTAGTCCTATTGCTTAAACAAAGAAAAGGGACCTCTCTGAAATAAAGTTACAACTTGATGAGTTTTCTATTTACCATGTACCACTTGAAATAAGTAAACTTGAGTTTGTTCTGCCAGAGAGACCAGAGAAGGGTCTGTACAGAAGTCCACAACTGGAGGCTGAAGTCAGGTCAGCCATAAGGCACCTAACCACTCTTCCATAACTTTTTTCAAATTATTTTTATCAAAATAGAAATACCTTACCACCACACAGAAGAAGCAGCATCCCTGAATAAACCATGCCATGGACGGCTTTCTAAAACAGTTACTTGAATTCACCTGTACCTGTTGGCTTTGAAACTTGTATTCATTCCAGTCTCAGACCAAACAGAGAATTATTCCTTTCCAGACAAACTACTGCTAACTTTAAGACTGATTCTTACAGCTTTCTGAAATGGAAATTTCTGTTTTGTTAATGGCCAGTGGTACTTGACAACCTGCTTGAAATGCAGGTAGCAGTGACTACATCACCCTAAATTGACCTATACTTTCTGCTCAAGTCTCAGCTTTATCCTTGTCATGTTCTCAACCTGCATCTGCAGCTTTGACAGAACCATGAAGTGTTGCAGCCCAGCAGGAACTCTTCTGCAGTAAACACTAATACTGGACTAACTTCTAGGACTAATATATCTTCCAAGACTGGAGCCAATTTTCATGGAGACTAAAAATCCATGTTCTGTCTTCAAAACAGAAGTCACAGTTACAGAACTTTACACTGTCTAACCACACAGTTTTGTAACAGCATTTAGGCTTACTGATCTTGCATGGATTTTTTAACCATCCTTCACTAAGACCACATATCAAGTTCTAAAATGGGTCATCCTGCAGGCTCCTTCCAGATTATTATCAAGAACTGGATTAGGCTTAGTCCCCCCCCCCCCAAAAAAAAAAAAGTACTGAACAGCATTACCATGCAGGCAAACTCTTCAGCAGTTCTGTCCCATATGCTACAATTATCTCTGTTTAGACTTGTTAGATCTTATATATTTGATTAGTGTTTCTTCAACAGGCTTGCAACCCGACCTAGATTGAACTGACATTAAAGACAGGTCTTGCTAACACAGAACAGCTCCAAGTCTGTCACTTTGTGCGTAATAGCTGATATCCTCCTGTTCACTGCACCTATCCCAAGACTTCCTTTCTTCAAATGCGTGTTTTTACTTGACAGGCAATATGAAGGTACCATGGCACACACTAATGCTGCACTAGATTGTGGAACCATAACATGCACAGGCCTCTTTTGCAAACACGTACTTCAATTGATAAAATACTTCTGAAGCTCTTTTACCTATAGATAAGTAACAGAGTACTATGTATGGTAATAGAGAACACAATAAATTCCCAAAGCCATCAAAAGTCAGGGAAGAACTCTAGCATTAAAGAAGAGTCAAACAATTTAGAAAAGGGTGTTCATGTAAACTGTTTCAGATGACCATGGGAATTCCAGTCAACTAGCTGCTTACTGCCCCACTAAAAATAGAGACTTTTTCTATTCCCATGCCCTTCTATCCTTAAAATTACCAGCTCCTTGCTTTGTGTATATTTCACACAGTAAGACACACAATATTTTTTATGAGAAATAATAAACCACAGTAGCAGAAGACTAATCTGCTTGTACTTAATGGAGAAGCAAATGGATACTGAAACAGCAAAATTTTCTATCCTGTTTTTCTACCAGTGATCAACAATAAATTTGCTCTCAAATATCAGTTTTGCAAAGAATACTTAGCTCTGCTACCACTGACTCTTCCATATCAGATCTTGCTTTATGAAGAACCTTCCTCTCCAGGCAACCAGCCAGGGCCCTCATTTTAACATTTCTCAGCTCAGATAATTTTCACATTCTTTGGTCATGTGTCTCTTCCACATAGCTCTAACTCTGGCATCGCTTAGCAGTATTTCTACCCCAAGCTTAAATAAAACATTAGTGCAATGAATAAAAACAACTCGGATATGCCTTTAATCACACTGAAAATCAGGTTTCATTGATTAAGTTTTACTTTTATTTACAAAGACAGAATTTTACAATAAACTAGACATCCCTCATAATTAAATTATTTAATAAAAGTTAAATCCTGAGTTAGCAAAAGGTATTGCTTCACCGGAGTTGCAGAATTTGTTAACAGGCATTTTTATATTTTTGGTTCCCAGTATGAATTCTTTACATAGCAGTTTTTCAAAGCTTTAAATCAGAGGCAAACACAAGATAAAAACCAAAACTGAGGAAGACAGTAAATACCAGTGCAGCTTTAGTTAACTAGCTTTGCATCAGCTAGAATACAGTATGAAACATTTGTTGAGATTCAAGATATGAGTTATGAACTAAAACTCTGTTTTTCGTATCAATAGCACTTTTTTTTCAAAATAAATGCATAATAAAGTGATTGTAGTTTCAAATCAGATACAATCAAGTGATGATTCATGCACATGTTAATGTGGAAAGATGCACTGGTTTTAAGATACTGATGGCCAGTTCATTATGATTACAATGATTAAACCTCCTTTCCTAGTCCACAAGTCAGCTGACAGTCTTCGCAAATGTACCTTGCAACAAATTAAACTGGTTCTTGCCACTATCATACACAACTACAGGACAATTTGTAGGAAAAATACCTGATCAGGGAGCTGCTGTCCATCACAGCTCACAGAAACTGAAGTGTCACAAAATTTTATTTCACATGCCCTGCAAGCTCCCCAGTACCAGCATGTTTTTACTCTAAGTGATAATGCATGCTTTTCATGTGATTTGGCAACACTCATGAGATGAACAAAATACTAATTTGTACAATTTGTAGAGTGGTACTGATGTAACAGAATGTTTTATATATAGTTTGGAAAGAAACCATGAAGTTTCTTCAGGTACACTGAGTTCTCTGAATTTCAGAAACTAACTATTATACTGCACTGAAAAAAAACTGCTAATATTAAAAAAAACAAAGACATCAGTGGCTTCTGAACTCAAAGCTTGTCAATTAAAGCTGAAAGATACTCCAAATCACTCAGTGATTTATAAATCCTACCCTGTGGAAATTTAAAAAGAGCAATCCATAGATAGACATGTTTTTAAATATTACTCTTCTTGGTATTTTTCCTTATGGAAAGCAAACTGTATTTTAAGAAATAGTTAAATGTATTAGCAAAGTGCAATACTGTCATGTCACCAAAAGTCTCTCCAGAGGAGATACCAAAAATTAACCAATTCTAATAAATTAGAAGATAACTTGAAATTTAGAGTAGATTAATAATAAGATATCCACATAAAGGAGGGGGGATTTAACAGTCTTACATACAAGAGAGCAACTCATGTGCTTGTATGCTGATACTGAAAGATCACAACAGGAACAAAACCACAAGGTGATAGTTATGCCAAGCTTACTGACTCAAGTTATAACACTGAAGAGACAGGCGAAAGAGAAGGAACTAAGTTTTTAACAGAAACATATTATTTGTAAAAGATAATCTAGGTAAGTAATTATCACATTCCCTCAAAATATCAATTTTTCTGCATTGTGCATTTGCCAAGGACTGGCAATGCAACCTACACAAGCATCAGAGCTTTCAGTGACTTCAATGACAAAAGTAATGTTTAGCACTTCACCACCTCTGCCCCCCCCACCATGTGAACAAGTATCTTTTAGCTGAAGGTCTCACTTTAATTGGATGGATAGGATTGGTAGGCAATACTCCCCACATATGCACGAAGTATGGTTATATTTACATCACATCAAAATAATTTCATGAGGCCCTTTCATTACAATTTTCATCTTATTATGCTAGCGATACCTCCTCAAATGGAGTTTTCATTTCAAGAAACCCACTTGTCAAACTGCCATTTCAGTGGAAGAACCAAGGTGAACTGTATTCATGTTGACATGAAGTTACCACTATTATCCCCAAGAGAGCAGGTCTTTAAACAGTCAGACTGCCAAAGAAACACTCTTTGATGCCAAAGTACTGTAAATTCTTGTGAAAGTCTATGACATCTTGTTAGAACCTACAACAGCATGCTATGTCAGAGAGATTACCCTATGAGCACTGCATTACTGTCAACATTAAAAGACAAAAAGGTCGTAAGTGGAGGACCAACCAAAAGAAAACGTCCAGTTTGGAAATCTCTCCAGTAATGCATGGAGTTGAGGTGACTGTTGATCTTCCCCAAAAAGGTAATGTGCTGCTATGGCAAGGGAGACTATTCCATCAGAATGTTTTTCTGGGGCCTGAAAGTGAGAAAAGGGCAACACAGTCTTTATGATTGTTTATGGCTTTTAAACGTAAGTTCAATCCAGATGCATTTTTCTACAGACTTAATGCAACAAACTTCATCCTGCAGCAATTTGTCCTACACTACCTATCTTTAAACGCATCAGTCTGATTACATTATGAGTTCAATTTGAATTGAACTTCCAACTAGTATTTAGATCACAGTGCCTCTGACATGTTACATAGCTTGCACTTGCTCTAACTTTAACACTTATATCTGTTGGCTTTGCTGACAAATCAAGACATGGACTCCCACACAGCATTTATACTGATCCTTCTATTGTGAATCCTTCAGATAAAATGTCTTCTCTGCTTAGCTTTGCCACTATCAGTCTTGCAAAGCTGGTCACACTGCAGATTCCTGGCTGCCTTTATCAAGTATCCTCAGAGGATTACCTGGTTAAGTACTTAGACTGCCAGATACAGGAAGGAACAAGGGACTTCCTGAACTTTCACAAGTTCTTCTAATATTTACTCAAAGACCCTGTTAAACCTATAATAAAAAACATGCATATCTGCAAAAAGTTCTTCATTGTTAAGGTAATGAGGGGAGAAGGGGATCATAAATCCCACTGGAACAGCACAGGTAAGTTTCCCACCAAGAACTCCCTGTAATTTCCCAAAACCAAGCAAACAAAATACATTAGAAAGAAAATACAATACGAAAAAGAACTCCGAAATAACAGTAATAAAAATAAAATTTCAAAATCTATGATGCTAAGATGAAAGAAATCCAAACTTATGACCTAATACAATGGAGACAAGTAAAATATTCTCCCTTTGGCTGTTTGGCAAGTTAGTGGACTAAGCATCAAAAATGTACGTGAGCTGACATACAAAGTTGAGGGACAAATTGAAAGTGGGAAGCCAGAATTAGGATCTGTCAAATAAAGCAAAGCTTAAGAAGGTTATGATATTTTCACAGAAGAATGCAGAAACGGTGAGAACACGGGATCGCCAGGTTTCCAGCAATGGCATACTCACCGTCAGTTCTACCCAGAAGTGCCATGGTGCAGCCTGCAGCCCACGGGAATAAAACACAAAGTAGTCTCCTCCTACAGTAGCAATGGGCATACCATCCCCAAGAGACCAGGCAGACAGAGCCGACCCTTCATGTGGCCGAATATACACAGACATGTGACTTGGACCTGCAGAGACAAGGATATGTATCTTCATAGATGTGTCAACAGATGGAGGTAGAATAACCATCTATTTTCCTATATAGCAGCATGTTTCTGTGTATTACTATTCATGTCTTCCAAAACATGATACAACTGTCTTCTCTACAGAAGAAGTTTCAGTTATTTCTAAGCAGTGAAATAAATGAGATGATGATGTAGGAGAGGGACAGAGCTATGAAGTGGACTTTAAGAAAGGATTTGCTATAAAAAGATCAAGGCTTACTCAAAATAGACAAGGTTATCAGTCCCCCCAGTAACAACTGCAACACAACACCCACAGCTTTGAGCATGTTATGAAACTGAATTAATTCATGCTAATCTCACAAAGCTCACTATCTTGGGAATGGCACTAGAACCTGCAGTATTGGAGTCAAAACCTGATTTATTATGGAGATAAAACTAAACACCCATCACAAACCAGAAGCTTCAGTCACTCACCAGACACTTCAAAGCTTAATCTCACAGAGTTCCAGGGCATCAGCTCCTTGGACAGAACTTTAAAGTGGATAGGGCTTCTTGGAAAAAATTCTTGAGCAGGAAGATACCAGGTTTTCCTGGGGGGGGGAAGTTGTAACTTACTCTCAGTGTAACACTCAGAGGTACTAAATCTGAGAAGCCAAGAAGTTTTTATATAGCATGGCTGACTCTGCAGTTACTAAATGAAATATTCAAAAGCTACTGATTCTAGCAGAAGGCAGGTAAAATTAGCAGCTTGTGGCCAGACAAATATTTAAAGGGCATGTTAACTGAAAAGTAGTCACCAGTGCATTAATTCATTACCTTCATCTGTGCTAATTTACAAAACAATAAAGTAAGAATACTTGCACCTTCGAACTGCTACACTTTTGGTTCACAAGATTCTTGGGGTACAACAAACAGTCACAGCAGCTAGTTTTCTTCTGTGGAGACCAGCTCCTCCAGACTTCCTCTGCTGTCAGCTGGGGTGAGTGGGGAAAGAAGGGAAGAGACATACATATCCCTACTCTGAACGGCCCTTTAGAAGGCCCCCCCTCCACCTTGTTCTCCACGGGTGCTGACATCTATTTGCAACACACCAACTTCTACAGCTCCTGCAGTAGACCCAGCAATCTCTTGCAGAGATTCTGGCAGAAGACATTGCACGTAGACAGAAGTTTAATTGTCTTTTGAGGTGGAAGGATTATTTACTTCTAGACCACAATTAGCCTTACTTTTTCTTCCCTTGCATAAATAAGATTGCATAAATGACCAATGTGGTTTGGCAGTAAGTGCTCAAGTAAAGCTGTGTTCACACCGACCAGAACATCAAATGCACTGGCAGAATCCAAGGAAGGCCACAGAAAGGAGCCTGCTCCTCACATGGAGTTCTAATGGTGTCATTGATTTCAGGTACATGGGGAGTTATGTGAGACATTCCAGTATAATCAAATCCATTAATCCATATACCAGAGTCACTTTTAACCACATTTCCATCTAGATCATGAAATCTTCTACTTGTATGCTAGAAGAAGGGAAAAAAAAAAAAGATACATAGAAAGTTGGCAGTTCACAAGAGTCATAAGTTATTCTGAAATATCCTCCATGGAAGTCCTTAAGGTCTACCGCATTTTCAGTATGCGCTCTACACATACCTGAGTATTTATGAGTATATATAGATAATTACTCAGGTAAAAGAAACACACCATAAAACCACCTACACTCAGAAGATGACTGTGCCTTTAAGTATTTGCTCACCTCCCATCCCATTCACTTTCTAAATTATCATTGCTTACACACTTAAAACTCCCTCAAAAAGCCCTGCCCTTCTGACACAAGTGAAGTGAACACAGAGACTGAACAAGGGAAACACTGGCAATTCTTTCAAATGCAGGAATAATTGTTAAAGCTTTTAAATCAAGCAAGAAAGGGAAAGTTACTTTTTCACAGCCCGGGGGGGTGGGGAGGAAATGGAATAGGTTGATTAAGCATAGGAAAAAAAAATAAATTGCAACCAGCAGAGGCAATATGATATGCAAGGCTTTTCTTACCTGGAGAAAGACTCGCTTAGGCCTTGGATTAGCCGCATCAGAACTGTAAGGAAAGAAGATTCCACTACAAACAAGAATCAGAGTGACTACAAACACAGTAGTTAAAGCTATTAGCGTCGTTTTTGTACTCTTGACAAGGTAAATGAAGTTAATCTAGAGAACAAAAAGACAGGTCAGTTATAAAACTGCAAGACTTAAGAAATAAGACACTATTTATGTAACTCTAAAATCCAGTCATGGAAAGTATATTAAAAAGATATTGCAAGTAGTACCTGACACAAGACACATCTTTGTAATCTCAGTATTTAAAACCAAGAGGAATAAGTGAACTTCCTTGAGTTTTTAGAAATTTCCAATTTTTTCAAAACACTGGCCAACAAAAATATACAATCTTTGCAGCAAAGTCATCAAAAAAAACAACCCTGAGAATTTTATTTAAAGTGAAATGTATGTATTGTTCAGCCATGTACTATACCTCACCTAAAGCAAATGCCTATGCATATTTTACGCCAAACTCTACTACAACAGAGAGCAGATATATTTTTGTACCCCTGCTTCATTAACTTTTCTTTGACTAAAACAAAACATGGAATCTTTGACATGTTTCCTAGAAGTTTCCTGTAACATTTAAGATACTGTCAAATTACCATTAACTTCAAGTATTGATTTAAAAAAAAGATACTAAACTCTAGAGGAAGTTTAAAAGTTTTAAACATAACTTACAGATTCTACTTACAAAATAGGATGACAGAATCACAGTGACTACAACAATAAGTCCTGCCAACACCAGATCTGGTTGAACTTCTGAACCACTTCGTCCCATGACAGGCGTAAACATTTCAAACACAGTCCAACTAAGATATATCGTATACAGATAGGGAACAAACATTCCCAGCATGTACATCATGACAAACTTCATTGTGGCACCTATGGGGACAAAAAAACCCAAAGGACAAAAAACCATACAAGCTTAGAAGGACATAAACACACACCTTTACTAATATATCCATATACGTCAGCAAGGCCCAATACACAACAGTGGCCTTCATCCCTGACATGGATGGGAAAGGGATCTCCTTTTGCATAGCCAATGTCCATATAACTCTTTCAAAAATACCACAAGATTATTTTTGTATTACAAAAGCATATTTAATCAGGTGCTCTGTCCCAAACACTGTTTCAACATTACAGTATTTTTTAACAACCTTTATTGTCCATTGAAGTATCTGATCACTTATTAATAACCGCACATAGGATTGTTCTTTCTATCCTGAGACGCAGGATGTTTTTAAGTGTATTTTTTTAAGAGCTTCTCCATACTTTCACACTGTGTTTAGTTCCAGAACACTTCTTGTTACAAAAATGTCATGTGTCATTATTCAAAAGTCAAAGTTTGTAATTCCTTTAGAGTTTGTACAAAAACACCCAATATGCAATATTAGGGACAGATGTTTCAAAATGCAACCTCCCCCCCCTGAAAACTCATACCTTCTTGGCTGAATTCTTTATGGATCATCAGCTTAGCAAGTAAAGGAAATGCTACCCATAATGTACAAATGAATGCTGAAAAAAAGCCCATCTGAGTAATCACAGCTAATGCTATAGACCAAATCATCAATGATGCATCAAAAAAAGTATCTCCCAGGTACTGCTCATTCATATTCTGTAACAAAAAAAAGCAAATACACTCATTATTGAGCATATTCCATGTATCACATCTCACTCCTTGGACAAAACAATTTCAATAAGTATCATCTCACCATTCTCTTAGCATTTGGGGTTATCCACAACAGTATATTTTTTAAAAATTGTTAAAATCTGCTCTGACATAGCTTGAAAAAGAGATTACATGGGCTGGGGCAGCGGGCAGTAGGGAACATACAAATGGTAATACCAAGAAGATGGAAGGCTAATGTTTCAGGTACACAGGCAAATAGGGGCCCTTCCATAAAAAACACTGGTATTAGTGAAGCATATTAAAAAGTTATGTAGTACTTATGTGTGAAAAAATGATCTATATCTCCTGAGATTATAAACCTGTTTTTGAACAACAGCTGTTAATACACTTCTTATACAAGCACTGTTGTTAGTGCACAAATATTATACTGATGCCTTTATATGCCATGCCATAGTTCTCAAGCATGCATGGGTCACATAATACCAGATCTGTTTTCAAAAAAGAACTAAGTTTAACCATCAAAAATGTGGTTTGGTTTTGTGGGTTTTTTTTAAGTTACATGGGCAATGCTGCAGTGTCTGTAGTGCAAAATTCTTAATTGTGAATCCTGGCAGTAGTAAGGAGGACTGCTTGTGTGAACAATGGCTATTAGAAAGCACCTAGTTCAGCTTTGGGCTCAGAAGCAAAAAAAAAAAAAAAAAAAAGGGGGGGGGGGGGATGGGGAGAATAAGAGTTGCCAAACCTATTTCAAAACAAAAAGCTTATTAATTCACAAATTCTTGAGTCACTAACACAAAATAACCCAGCACTGCCTGTGATAGCCAAGTAAGAGATTAGCTTCACAAATTTGCATGCAACTCTTAAGTACACTGTAAGTTACAGAGGCAGCATATACTGTATGGCATACGGCATGCAACAAAATTAAGAGATTCATGATATCATGTTGGTTGATCTCCTGATCACACAATCGGCAAGCAAGAAGATCCAAAGCCTGGAACAGTTACTGAAAGTATGCTCTCTCGTCAGCTCGTCCAAAAGCACTAGAAATAGTAACACTGCACCTATTTTATAAGTAGCTCATACATTACCAGTTAACACTCCCCTTCCCCAATTAAAAAACCCACTTCCCGATAAAGACATGATTGATCCACCCAGAACTTTCCATACAATCAAATTTCAGTAAATTCTTAAGACTTCTTCAAATACTTGTGTGAAGCTGGATTTGGCTGACAGCTTAGGTTTCCTACATTCCCTTGCCCAAAGCTTGTACAAATGGCTGAGAAGATAAGTAAGAGCAAGCTGAATGACTAAATACTATGGTGCCTAAAACCTAAACCTAACAGGCTCAAGTAGCTGACTTCTGCCCTGGAAGAGCATAATCTGTCAGACACCTCAAGGTACCACCTCAAGGCCCTGTTTGTTTTTTTAATACAGAACCATTAAGTTATCATCTTAACATTTTGGATTGTTATGAGCTATAACTACGACATTATTACGCAAGTTAAATTGTGTTGGTTAGCCTGTAAAAAATAATGCTAAACAAAAATGGTAGATAGACAGCAGTCATGAGAAGTGCCAGCAATGGAAAGGTAACACACATCAAATCCTCACCAAGCCTTGCATGGGCCTAAATGACCTTAACCTAATGCAGAAAAGAATGTGGACTATCAAGAGCTCTGTTCCATCTCCACTATGGTCAAAACAAGTAACAATCAGAATAATCACAGAGGGAAGGTGACTACTCAGCTTCATTTAGAAAGCTCTGTTGAAATCATTGAAATGATGACGGGAAGGGAAAGTGCAGACAGGAAAAGAAACAGTACTTTATACTGTCTTCTACTAAGCTTTTGTCTTTTTTCCCTGAAGCAGCTCCTGAAGGTCATTAGCAAGGAGAAAGCCTTAAATCACAAAGCTCTTAACTATCTGATTTAGTAGAGCAATTCCTGTGCTTAGATGAAGCAATTTTTAGAGCTACATTTTAAATACTTCTGTTCAATACAGAAAACTTTTTGCTTCTTTCTAATCAACTCAAAAAATAAATCTTCCACAGATCAGACACTACACTACCCTTCAACATTAGCAACAAAGTCAAGCTTACCTTGTAGAAGAACTTCTTGGCTAGCGTATGTACAAGAATGAGCATAGCTGCAGCTGCAGTGCCATACAGAAACACAGAAACATAGAAATGGGTGTACCACGAAAGAGACCGTCCAATGACAGAGATGAACACTGCCACTATAAGGACTGCCAGTGTGCAGACCCAACTTAACAGTGTAAAGCCAAATGCAATAAATAATTTCTTCAGGTTATGGATAGCTATGAAGAAGAAAAAAAACACTTTTCATTCAACAGTCATATATTTTATTGCAGGCAATCACCAAGACTGTAATTACCCCACAGTATAACTGCTCTAATGACTAAAATAAAACTTCATGAGGCATCCACTCTGAAGATTTCTTAACAGCATGGTCTAAATCACTTAGCCTATTTCTTTGCAAGTCTTTTTGCAGTCTTCCCCACTGCACGATCTATTTGCAGAGTACCAGTGTATTTTGCAGATTTTGCAGTTTATGTTCCCAATAGTAAAAATTTCTCTAGGGAAACAGTGGAGCAATTCTACCATCTATAAACTCTCAAAAAACCCCAGACCTAGAGTTGCTTTTCTTGTAACTTTTACTCCAAAAATGTTTGCTAGATTTTGGGGTAGGGATGTTTGTTTTAGTTTGATTTGTTTTCTAAAAACAGGTATGTTCCTACACATACCTGAAAAAGTCTAACCAGAAGATTCAAGTTGCTTTACGCCCTTTATTAAGTTTTGTTATTTTTTTTCCCCATTTGTTGTTTTCTTAGTTGATCTTGCCTATGGACAGGTGTTAAAGAAACATGATTCTGAAGCCCTACCTGTGCTAACAGAACAAAGAGCTTATATAAATGCTAAGCAATTTTTTTTCCATTTTCAGATCTTTAGAAGATTTAATTTTAATCTTTGTGAAAGGACAAGAGATATAATTGTGATTATAAATGCTAGAAATCTAGGCCTATTAGGGTCTTTCTTCATTATAATCATTCACAGTTGCGATATCTAAACACAGAACAACTCCTGTGGCATGCTGCACACCTAAAATCTATTTCTGAAATTTATCTTAAAAAAATGCCTTAATTGCCTGAACACTTCGTCATCTACTAGTTGCTATCAATTAAATGGTAATGTGATTTTTTTTCTTTTTTTTTTTTAATAACTAGACTTACCTCTGGTTTTGGGCTGTAATACTTTCTTGCTCAAATAAAGAAAAGCAACTGCTGCTGTAATATAGTTCATGATGGTGCCAACACGAGCAGGATAAGCCACAACAAATAAACCAAGTACATCAAAGAACACAACATTTCCATGTCGATACTCAAAGGATTTAGCCAACTTGTCTGATGTTGCTAGGTATTTCAGAACAGATAGAATATTGTCTCCTATTAAAAAAGAAGATACAAAACCTAACTACATTGCAGTACAGGGCATTCTTTTAAATGTAAGCATTCTTTAAAATAAACCTGCATTCCTCAACAAAGACAGAAATATACAATGGATTATCCTAAAATAGGTATTTGATGGTACACAGAGCATAGTGTTTTCATAAGTTAATCTATACAGCTGTCACTAAAATAAGTATACTTAGGAGGCTTCATGTTTTTAAACACTGTAGCAATGAAGGGAACAGTGAAGCTTTTAGCCCATAAGCTTTTCTTCAGGTCTGACATTAAAGCATTGGACTTTCAAGGCTAACCCATGGAAGAGTTTACAATTTCCTAATCTTCCTCGTCTTCTCAGTGCCACTAGTACCCCCCCATGTCTCAATGACTATGAATGACCTGCCTGTCCTTCCCTATATGACTCTAAGGTAGGAGACAAGGAGGCTATTTTCCTTTGTAGCCTACAGGTACCAACCACCTTTTCCTTTCCCACAGTACAGCCAAAACACATGTAATCAAATGAGAACAATTGCTCTCAACTTTCGTGTTGCTTTTACTTGACCATTTCAGATTATTGGCTGAAAAGTTTGTATTTTTTTGTTAGCTGTGGTATGTTCAGCAAGAGATGTTCTATGTAACAACCATGACCAGTAAAATCATCTTTCCAACAGGAATTTGAAAGTGTTACTTGCTGCCTTGCAACTGTGTTGGCACAAGAAAGTGTTTAAAACTCCTATTCATGCTGGTCAACTAAACTGGTATAAGCTTAAACAGGGAAATGGTCAAAATCCTGGAGGCATTTAGGATTACGTTAAGTTTCTCCTAGGAAACTAAAAGTCTTACTGTAATTTTCTTTACTGCTATCAGCAGGCTGTGATAGATACAGCCTGCTATGTATCACACACATTTCTACACCTGTTAGTAGAAAATAAATCCTGTTATCCACAGTCGGTGTGCTACTACCTAAGTCTGAATGAGATCCATTCTCAAAGAAAAACCCCTGTTGGCAGATCAGTCTCTATGCCATCAACATAACCATAAGCTTCTCACGATGAACATTAACCAGTAACAGAACTTAGCGAGAGGAAAGGAACACAAAAAACTAAACAATCAGGTATCAATGGCTAGATTACAACCTTAATTAGATTCCACAGTTCTTTCAGATCAACATCACTGGACGCTGATAAAGTTTATCTTCCCCAGTTGACCAAACATATTTCCTTTGTAGTTTAAAGACATGCATTCAGTTAATTCTTTGTTCTTTAGAATATGTCTAGCATGTTCTAAATTTGTAATTACAATTATGAGTTTCTTGTAGTAGTCTTACAGCAAGATGAAAAACCAGCGACAACACTACTCTTTAGTAAATTACTGAATTCTTGAAATACCAACCTGCTCTCTGAATGGAATCTGTTAAAATTCTGTCTGATGTGTCATATTTTGTATGATAAATGTAGCCATTTTCAATAAAAGCCAAATCTATTCCTACAGAAAGAGAAGAAGCAAGTTTGAAATTATGTAAACTTAAAACCTCAAAACAAGTGCGAAAGCCTCAGATATATTTCACAGAAAAATGTTACTCTACTTTATAGCCCACTCATTACAGTCTGCGTTGTAGAAGGAAGACTAACTGGGATTCCAAGTGTATTTTAAAAAGGACATTTGAAAAGTATTTTAAAATATCTATCCTTTCTAATGTATTGATTTGCATGACATCTGTACACAAACTGATCTCTACTGGAGGAACACATGAAAATTTTTCATCTTCTCAGCTTCAGAAAAGATGTACCAGGTGCTTTCCAAGCATTTACTACTAAAACATCAATAAGATCCACACTGAAAAGTGATAAAAAGCAGTACAGTGGAACTGTAGAAATGCCCTCTCAAAATACCAGGTGTGTTCTTTTTATTTCTAATTTGCAAACAACTTTTCAAATAGCCAGCCTAAAAACTCTTAAAGGATAAATAATTTATAAAATATAAACAAAAAATATTTACCAGAAAAACAGGTTTTCTGCGAGATTAATTATACATTCAGTGTATCCCAAACACACACACCCCTTAGCTGCATATGCAAAAAGATGCTGTCTGCAATCTGAATTTTGCAGAAGTTTAACAAACCAGACCTCAATTCTACCAGTGGACAAAGAGGAACAAACTAGTTCTTTTAACTGAATTATCTCATTTCTATTTGTTCAGAAAAAAAAAAAAAAAAAGAGATCAGTGAGAATCAATCATAATCCAGGTACAATACTGAACACAAAACGAAGACATTGTACAAAATCAGCGACTTTATTTTCAGGCTAGAAGCATACTTTGCAATGGTTCAGAATATGCCAACATGTTTTGTTCTAAGAATCAATTCAGAAATATCACTTTTCTTGAAAGCAACTCCACTGACAACCTGTGACAGACAGCAATGATTTTACAGAAGTTTGCATTCCTTTGAATTGTGTTGGCATTTGTGTTCCACATTTTTCTGACTGGTCATTCTCTGCAGAATGGATAACGAACTGTGAACAGATAAGCACAACCAAGATCTGCTGTCCTGTGCTTGATTATGACCAAAAAAAAAAAAAAAAAAAAAAAAGAAAATGCATTAATTACTAAGTCACTATCCTAAAAAATTATTTTGGTTTATGCATTTGATACAGACATTTAATTCCTGCAAGCAGGTTATTAACATCATTACCGAAATGTTTCAAAACAGAATTTTTAATAGTGTACTGTTAATCCTGGAGCACTTTCCTGATTTTCAGGAAACTATTCTACCATGTAGTTTCTTTCGGGAAAACAGCATTCTCCACAAAACATCCTTAACAACCTACATGACAAACCAAATCTAAAAGATCAAATCTAAAGACACTTGCCTTGGACAAAATGCAGGAAAATTTGCTCCAAAACTAAAAGATAAACCTAATTTGAGGACATTGACACAGTGAACCGCAGAAGTCTCTTTGTTATAAACTTAAGATAAATGGTTACATAATGCGCATTGACATGTCTTCTGATAACGTACCTGGAACATTGCCAAAGTCCCTGTAGATACGGAAGTCTGTATCTGCTGGGATAATACCACTCTGAAATACTTCCTGTGCCACCACAGAGGCAAAGGGATGTTTGGCTGCAGTTACATATGCTTCTACCAACCAAGGATTCTCAGGTCCTAACAGAAGATGAGCAGAAAGTTCACAACAAATACTTGCTGAACTTCATCCAGAAGTTCATCTCTACATACTGAGAGAGTTGGGGTTGTTCAGCCTGGAGAAGAGAAGGCTGCAGGGGGACCTTATAGCAGCCTTCCAGTACCTAAAAGGGGGCCTATGGGAGACATGGGGAGGGACATTTACAAGGGCATGCTGTGACAGGACAAGGGGTAATGGATTTAAATTGGAAAAGGGAAGAATTAGACTAGATATTAGAAAGAAATTATTTACTGGGAGGGTGGTGAGACACTGGAACAGGTTGCCCAGGGAAGCTGTGGATGCCCCATCCCTGGAGGTGTCCAAGGCCAGGCTGGATGAGGCTTTGAGCAACCTGGTCTAGTGGAGGGTGTCCCTGCCCATGGCAGGGGGGTTGGAACTCAATCTTGCAGGTCTTTTCCAACCCTAACTGTTCTATGATTCAGTTAAGATGCGTACCTTTATGGTAACAAATAACATAAAGGAAGTCACTGGAGTTCTAACCCTGCCCCACAAGGTATATACTAAGTGCATTTGTGTTGGCTGAGTGACTCACACTTGAGAGAAAGAATTAGTTCCATTTGGGGCAAAAAAAAGCACTGTTGCCTTGAGTATTTAGTGGCAGAGTAGATAAGCCATCTCCCAAAAAAGACTCATCACTAATGATGAAGGCAGAACCTTTAGGAGAGCTTCCAGTTTACCATCTAAGTATCACACCTCCAAACTGTTGTTTCGAGAGGAGTCTCTCCACTAAAGCATTCAATGCAAGTAAACAATTAAGCAGCTCCACCAGTAGAAGGAAGCCTGCAGTCCAACTAGGATGGAGCAGAGGTTTAACTGTAGCCTACAAAACACAGAAGTTTTGCTGTTTTCTGAGCAGCAGATGGAGTTCTAATGCAAACATCTCCCCACAAAGATTTTGAAAGACCTCCTGTGAAAATTACATAAAGCATATGAAACTATGAGTATGCAAGATGCAAGATATCCAAATCTGTTCTTCTCCTTACTACCCTGACGTAAAGGGAAATACAGCTTATGTAATTTTATTCTACAGACTTCCCACCTATGAGGCAACTTCTGTGGCAGCCTACGTGCACCTTATTTGCTGCACAATGTTGGCAAAAAGACACAGAGGTTCTCCTGTCTTTTCCTTGTAAGTCACTTTCAGTGCTCCTTCAAGTCCACTTTGCTTATTATCAAATTATCCTAGTGTAGAAATTAGACACAATGCAAGCTCATACCTGTTTGAAAAACAAGTTCTTTTCCTCCTACACCTGCTGCCTCCAGGTTAATAAAAGCTCTAATTGACTTGGCCCACTCATGTTGTGTAATGAAGCCATGACTAGCCTTGATGGGAAAACAAAACAAAATAAAAAATAGGTCAGATTATCTTCCACACCAGCCTCAATGCTATTTTCCATCACATATGATAATAACTGAAGACTGGACAAGGCAGCCAGATCACTTACAACACAAACAGATGCAGCAAATCCAAGTCTTCTAATATGGACAATATTCTTATATTTTTCCCTTTGAAATCAAATACGTTTTCCTCAGAATGTTAAGACTGGCATTTAACTAGTAATACAACAGATTAAATACAAGCCGTATCTGCAGTTATTCTTTCTTTTGTCAGAGTCTTCATATATAGTTTTGATGTGTATTTATAATTCTGGCATAATTCTCACCTGCAAAATATTTTCTTCTGCACCATTAAATAAGAATATGACAGCATGCTGCAGGGGCTCTGATGATTTTGAAAGTGTGTTAAGTATTTCAAGCATCACTGCACAGCTAACAGCATCATCGCTGGCACCTTAAAATAATCAGCAGAGTAGTAGGGCTTACAACAAACACACTGAATTGCAACAAAGACCAGAGAAGAAAAAAGCTTTATACTATCTCAGTCACTTAATCTAACCGAGGTACAATTATGTCAAGCTTTAGCGTATTTTCTGCTACTGCTTGCACCCTGTGTCTATGCTAGTTAAAAGCAACAGCAGAAAGAAAAATGTCTGAAAGTTGAGCAAGTGAAGTACAAGATATCAGATCCAATGCTACTGTTCAAGAAAAAGTAGACTAGCCAGATTACTAAGGAAGCGAAGTGATCATCATCTGTTATTCTAAGAACACAAATAAACAAGGACATAATTTTCACTTACAGCATACTCAAAATTTTTAAAATAAACATTCCCACACAGGTCACCCTAAAACATTCTACGCTGTTACAATGCATTCAAGTAAGCAGACAAAACCTCAAAGGCCAAGACTGCAAAATAAAGCAAAGGAAACACCAGAATTCACACCTCTAAAACATTCTTAAAATGTAAGTATACATTATAATACAGTATTTTCACAACCAGATGCTTTCTACTACCCTTCTTTCTCTGAAGAAAACGCCTTTTGCGCTGAGCTCAGTAGTCTGTTCTCTTTGAGTTCCTTATCCAACACTATTCCAGCCTTCCTCTCACTTCCTCACACTTTCTCCCACAATCTGCCCAATTTTAAATCCTGAGTAAGCATCCACCTTTTAGCCAAGGGCTCCCACTGCCCCATCTCCCTCACTTTGGTGGAAGCTGTATGGTCTCCCTACCCTACTCTAATCAATAAACTTCTGCAGCAAACAGTGAAATTCAACCTCATTCCTTTAGGCCTGCGTTGCACATATGATACCAAAGTGCACTGAGATGACGACAACAGTGTGGTCAGGCCTCAGCATACTATTAGGGCTGATTTATTTTAGCCTTAGCTTATTGTTTGGAAGTACTTTAGAATAAATAAAACCTAAATGTTTCCAATACAGTGTTCTCTAATCTTTTTCTCATAAATTAATGCCTTGCTCTGCCCAAAGCTTTCCAAAAAATCCCCCCCCCCCAAAATATGCTTTAAAGCCCTGATTGTATTGCTATCTGAATATACCAGTAGTCTACTCTTAGCCACACCCAGCTCTTTTACCTAACTTACACTGTGTTGAAAACTCAGCAGAGAAGTGATTATATTTTTCTGAAAGATTAATCACTTATCTGCCTTGCTGTGAAGCTAAGAAAAATAAAAGCTATTGGTTTCAACAGACATAGAGATTTACATCTGATTAAAGAAGCCATATAGCTGTAGACGGTGTTATGACACAGGCTCACAGAGAGAGTATCATCCTCAAATACTTTATATACAGCAAAACTGATGGGAGGTTAAAACAGATTTTATGGCAAATATCAGTAACCTAAGAAAACAACATTATCAGCTACATCTGTGCTGATAATTTCAAGGTAGTTTCTGCTTTCAAGTTTATTAGAAAAGAATCAAATGGGCCATATAAACTCAGCACTAGTACCATTAGAACAAGAGACGTGTTATAGGAGTTTACAGTTTTAAGTTTTTCCTTCACTCAAGCTTTCCAACACTGAAGCCCTCATGGTTTACTGAGTTTTGCTTTACTCATTTTATATGCATAAGCATCAACAGCAATTGTGTTTTATTATCTGATATTCAAATATACTACTTATTGATCGCTCAGTCTTGCTGATTCTGATTAAATAACATATTTTTGGTAATGAAAAAGCAAATAACTTGCAGAAATACAGTAGAATAGAAAACAAAAGGTTATTACTTAGGTTATGTGCAAGTTTCACACTAGGAAAACTAAAGACAGTAGCTCCTCATTGTTGTGGTAAAGGGCTACGCTACTTTATGATTAAGGACAAGCATACAGGCTGATTTATAATCATGTATGAACCACTAATATTTTTTGGCACCTCTGTGCAAGGTTGGTGAAATATTTTACTGTCTGAGCAACTGTAAAGAAAGTAATTGATGTAGGCACAATTTTACAACCCACAGAAGCGGACACACAATTTACATAGGGCATCAATTTAAAGACAGTTTTCAATAACTGTTGTATTATGCTTGTGAAGAACTCTTTCTAGCGCTAGGTAGCCATATTTAGACTATAAATACAGTAATTAGCATCTCTAGTTTCTAAATCACAGAGCATGTAAAATAACCATGCAGTTACTAAGCTTAATTTGGAAACTCATCTTGCCTAAATACGAGGAGGAGAAAGAGAAATTCTGTATACTACTTGTCGACAGAAAAAAGGCACAAAGAGTACAGCATGTGCTCTGTTTCTCTAGCTAAATAGTCAGTTGTTTTCTCAATAATGAAGATTATTTGTATGTGCTAAAGAACAGAAGATTTACTCCCAAATATAAAATATTGTGTGGGATGTAAATGATGAAACCTCAGTAAAAGCTGTGCTGCTGGTAAGTGAAATCTGTAGGTATGTCTCAACTGCAGTAACAGGCACACACCTGTTGCTAAGTGTTACAACAACTGTTTTCGTGCAGTTTTCAGCTCCCTACCTTCCTGACACTGGTAAAACCATGTACTTCCAAAGTTTTTTACACCTTCATGGCAACAGTTATTTAACATTATTAGATTTATAAAAGTGCAGAGGGACAAGAATAAGAGAGTATGCAACAGTGACAGTGAAAGCAGCAGCCAGAGAGATGTACACGCTACCAAGGCATCAGTACCTTAATCTTTCATCACTAGTCTTCTGAGATAGAAGCTTTGAGAGAAGAAAAAAAAAAACAAACCTGGCATAGCTTAAGGATATCACACTAAAAATTTGAGGTAAAGTAGGATACCAGCAAAGGGCAGGGAAAACACAGACTCATTAGTGGGGGTGGGAAGCCTCTGGCACAAAATACCCTGTGAAAGGAAAGCCAGTATTAAATCAGCACAGAAGAATGGGAAACCTTAATGATAGGTGGAAGCAGCATATGAACTACACACTAAGCAGTGAATTACAAGAAAGGCAGATATAGCCAAGCTTTATCTAGAGATCTACATATAATATCTGCAATTTGCTGCCTACCAGAAAGTGAAATCCTGACTTTAATAGGACCAACCTGTCACTCTAAACACTGCATCTTCCCGAAATCACGCAGAATAGTTGACATATGCAGTATTCTAGCATGTGGCTACAAGGCTACTTGGTATGAGAAGACAATGAGCCAAGCCAAGCTCTGTGGCTCATGTAACGTATACAAACACATAAAGAACACGTGGACCTACCCGGGCTATTTGGTACGGAATCAAAGTGACAATTGGATAACACTGCATTCTCAGCTCCATTTCGGGGTTCCAGCTTCACTACAACATTGGTTATGTTTGCATAGTAACTAGTAAAGCCTCCTACAAAGTTAAGGTGGAAGGACCCTGTGGGCCTCTGTACGTCTACAGATATCTTGTGAGCCTCTGTGCTTTCTCTTTCTATTGCCCTGATTTGTTCTAAGAGGTAGTTAACTGCAAGAACTTCATTTTCTGGACTTCCAACTGTTCTGGGCCCAATTGCTGTTATGTTGTCAAGATATCCCCTGTAAGAGATAAATTACACATTCAGCATCAACACGTTCAGCATTTAGTAGGTAACTTATCTACAACTGTAACATTTTTGTACATTGTTCTATTTAAAAACTCACAGTAAGCAAGAAGAGACTAAAGCCAACCAGACAGTATCTGTACTCAAAACACCAAAGATCATTACAGTGATGGGAATATAGTACTGATCGGTACTCAGGGATTCTCGTCCTATCTATGATATTAAACTAAACCACCCGTTTTCTGGTTTGAACATGTCTATCCAAAAAGAAACAAAAGGGTGAACAGAGAAGCTAAAGATGTTATCTTCAGCAAGGTTCTGCATATGATTACAAACTCTTCCCAGAATGTCTGAATAAGCACGCTTAGCCACACTCTCGACAACTAAAAATCTGCAATTAAGCTTTCCCAGACACCAGTTTCTTTACAACACCACAAGAATTACACTGGGGAGGCGGCTCTGCTTGCCCAGCCCAGAACAGCCCCTTTGGAGGCAGCTGACAGGAGCCCTGGAGCCCCTACAGTATTTTTACCCACTTCCTGCAAGCGCCTGACCGAGCTCTGAGCTCCTCCCGGGG